CACAGTTCTTTTTGTATTTCAAAATATTCTCAACTTTCTCACAGAATATGTTAATAGCATTGGCTATTTGATTTATAGTTAATCGCCTGTCAACAGGATAATGTTTTCCTCAGTGATAGCAATTGGAGGACATGAAGAGCTTAGGTCATCTTCAAGACTCTTCCCTTCCTAAATTCAGCTAACCACTTTTGTACTGTTGATAAAACTGGAGCAATGTAGTAACCCTGTCAGCATGAATGTGCATGAGGGCTAAACCTTTTTTCTACATGTACTTGATAACACTACGATGTCAAATTTTGTCCATTTTCAAAAGAAGTCCCTTTACTTTTGAAGTCTTCTTTGAACAGTCAGATATCAACTGGAAGGAAAGAATTCAGTTATTATTAAAAAGAGTTGAAATTAATGTATACAAGATTTCACAGCTCTAGCATCATTCCTTTGTAGTCAGCCTATGACCTTTTCAGCTCACTCTTGTAATGTGAGTATGTCAGTGATATTATACTGTGTATATACAGTGATATTATACTGTGTCAGTCAGTATAAATATATGTGTGTGTGTGCGTCAGTTATATTATATGTGTCTATCTGTCAGTTATAATGTGAGTGTGTGTGTCAGTCATAGTATTATGCATGTGTTAATTATAGAGTGTGTGTATGCGTGTGTGTTATTACATTATAGGTGATTGTAAAATGTTTTTTAAAAAAGTACTATTTCTTGGTTTTGAAGACACTACATTTAAACTCTGTAAAAAGAAAACCATTATTATTCTTTGGAAATTCTGTTAGAATCAAAGATTTTATGAATCACTTTCTTTCTGAAAATAAACCTTTGAAAATTTACTTTTTCTTCCTTCCTCTTTGAAGGTGAATATTACCTTACTTACAAGAGAAAGCAATTTATGATACCGTCATCAGAGATCCTGCCTATGATATCGAAATGAATTGTGTAAATTACTATAGAATGTTAATTAATCAAATCATGATAATAATAATCACAAACATTCATTCATCTTCTAATACTATCTATATATTTCAACTATATATATATATATATATATATATATATATATATATATATATATATATATATGTGTGTGTGCAGACATGTAGAAATATATATATATATATATATATAATGTATACACATACACACATATAATTGTGTGTGTATGTGTTTGTGTCAGCTATTCTAACTTTCAAAATTTACTCTTTGTCTTCAAAGACAAATATTATATTATTTAAAAGCCTGCATCTAAATAAAGAGAAAGTATTTTGATAGATTTTTCCAGAAAATTAGAAGAATAAAGTCTTTGAATCTGAGTGATACAATACAGGTTGAAATGTACTAAATTAGGATTCACTAATCTGGCTACTTCATTAATTTGAGACGGTGATTTGAATTTGGTGATCATTAATTTGTATGGATAAAATATGTCACTGAGTAATTGACATCTGAGGTAAAAATACCCAAACATGTATAAAAGTAAATTTTAACATTAGTAAGATTTTTATTTTTTACAGCTTATCAACCTTTTGTAAATTATTTAAAGATGAAACATTTTGTGATCATAAGAATAATTTTTTTTTTTTTGTGAATGAATATTGTATTAACAATTGCTTGGAGATAATAATGATTTTCAAATTCAAGTCTTACTATTTCAACCCATAGATGAGAAAGAAGTGGATTCATACTTTTTCCAAAGGTATTTGCATAAAAGTGAATGTAATGAACCTGACTGGAATTCAAACTCAGCTTTCTGATTTCTCATTCTGAGCTCTTTTCCATTACACTAATCATGCATTAGTAAGAAGAAAGTCTGCAAAAATTCTGATATAAAATTTATTTGCATACACTCAATAAAACTGGAGATATTTGTTATTTTTTTTTTTTTTTTTTTTTACTAATATTCACCCAATACAGGGCCCAAGAGCCATTCAAGGTAGTTACTGTGTGAAGTTATATTAGCATAGGAAAGGACAAACGTTAGGAGTATAGAGCTGAAGTAGACTTAGAAGGAACTGGAAACCCAATCCTAAACAGAAAATAAGGGATAAATCTCTACTCCTGTTTAAAAAACTGGGGAGGAGGGTGAAATTTAAACAATAGTAATAAAACCGAGATATTTATGAAAAAAAACAATAATATTTACATTTAAACAATAATAATAGTAATTATCTGAATTAGAAATTTTTAAATGAAAATATTTTCTGATTTTGAAATTCTGTCAAATATCAACTAATTATCAAATTTATGAAAAAAATTTTATACTCATTTGATAAAGGAAAAATATTATTTAAAATAAATTTCTCTTCCGAATTTTTGGAAAATAAATTTTCATATGATTATAATTCTTTCATAATTATTTTGAATTAATATAAGTAAGGCTTATACCTATGTAAAGTGAATTAGTAAAAGAAATACAATATACACAAATTTTGTCATTTTTTTTAAACCTAACTTTCATTAGTTCAAAAAATTTGGAACTTTAGCACTTTTCCAAATTCTTTTGTAATAAATCATCTTTTGTAATAAATCATTTTATATGGAGTAAAAAAAAAAATAATTTATAACTGAAATGATGACACATGCGTCAAAGTCATCCAGAGTGTGTCAGGCAGTTATATCGTCTCGCCAAGTTGTCTGTTGTCTGTTCTAGAACAAATTATTTGGGGCCTCAAATATCAGCTTCTGGGTTGTCTGAGTTCTGGTTTATTTAGTTTAGATAAACTGTCCTGTTCTTGAACATTGTCAGTTGTTATAGGGAAATTCAAACAAGACTTTACCTTGCAGATTTGATCGTGTGCAGACAAAATATTATTGTGCTTTTAGGTTGCTGGCTAGACAATTTATTAATAACTGTTTAAAATTTATACACACACACATTATAAAAGGACAATATGGACAAAGATTAAAGGAAAATTTATCTTAGTCAATGCATTTCATCCTCTGATGGAAATGTAAGAATTTAAATTTGCAACAAGCATTTATAAACAGAAGTAAAAATGTTAGCATTTTAGAATTTTAAAATTTAAGAACATCCCTAAAATCACATCACTTAACATTTCCATTTGTATAAGTTTCAGTTAACCTCATTGACTTAGATATGTTTTTCTTTTATATATATATTTATTTTATATATTATATATAAAAATGTCTTAAAAATAATTGTTGAACTTTGTCCATTTCATAATATGTGACGTCATTTGTTTACATTTGTATATGCTTTGAGCAGATATGAATGTACAAAAGAGATTCATGGAAGATTGTAGTTTAATGGTAGTAAAATTGACCTTGCTAACTGAACAATTCTCCGTGGCTCAATTGGTTAAGGCACGTCAGGTTAAATGACTGTTTGGTATAGGATACAGGTTCGATTCCTGTCAGAGAACAAATATTTTCTATGAAAATTTCTTGGACATTCAGGCCGGTAAATGTTATTAATACTGCTTATTATAAAAAACAGAGCATTTACTTAAATATTTGTATCTATAAAAAGAATGTATCAACATAAAAATGTCTTATATATATATATATCACTTTAAACATTATCTTTGATGGATATAGAAAATAATATATATATTATTTGAGTAGACACTCCATTTGTTTTTAAACAGTATTTTTATTTTCATCTATTGGCTTAAATAAATGATACTCATAAATGAGATTTTAATTGCTAAAAATCTGTCAAATAAAAAATCCATTACTTCTTTAGAAAAAAAAAATATATATATATTTATATTGTTTGAATTGTTATCCTCATCTTTATTGCCATATTCACAATACTCCAGCTGCTGTATGCTCCAGCTTTCTTCAGGTGATTGTAATTTCGAACTGAACCCTTTATTTCATCCACCAAGGTAGATTGTTCTTCTGGATGTCTCAGTTATCTCCCTTTTAATTCAATTCTCCAAGATTTTGTTCACCACTGCAGTTAAAAATGTTGTTCTCTACTGTAGTAGTCAGGTATTGAACTCACAGCTCTTTGGGTCAAGTCACTGGATCCAAGCCAATGCTTTTATCCACTGGACTATGTGTCCTAGAGGAAATCAGTGTGTGGATTTTTGGAACTTATAAATTTAATGTCTCAGTAATTATTTTTTTTACCAGAGCTCATATTGAAATTTTGTTGTTACTATTGCTTTTTCTCTAGCATTTGGTAATACTGGTTCCCATATTGTATTCATTTCTATCCTTAACCAGCTCAGGAGGTTTTTGTGGCCTAGCACATATGTTGATTACTTAAGTTTTCATATTTTCCAATGATGTTCTCTATTATTTCAACCTAATCCCATATGGGTCAGTGATCTCTCTTTTCTCTCTATATGTGGTCAGTTACACCTGATTTTTCTATTTCTCCTTGTGTTATGGCTTTACAATATTCTTGCAGTCTTGCGTTAAGAGGGCAAACCATTTCTCTATATTTCTTACCACAGCTACATGGGATGGCGTACACACAATCCTTAGTCATGTTCTCCTCTATGGGGGGGGTTTACTTGGAAGAGGTGTCTGCAAACTGTTGAACCACTTTTGAAGGTCATCCTGATGTTATACAGACCACTGATCTTTTGTATTTTCCCCAATAATCCCTTCACATAGGGTAGACAGACTGAAGCTGTTTTCTGAGTGTTGTTATCATCCTGAACACCCTTCTATCTCAGTTTGTCAAAGCTGCTGCCATGTATCCAGGGTAGTTGTTACATTGTAGGGTACTGCTTATACTGACTGTTTCTTGTTCGTATGTTTTTGGATCACTACTTATAACTTTTGCTTGATGCTTTAAGCAGCAGATGATCTCTTTCTTTACACTGTATAGGTAGTAGGATTTGAAGGGTCTTTCTATCTCAGTCTGATCATATAAGTTTATTCAAATCTATCTTCTTATCTTAATCTGTTCATATCTACCACAATTTGTTTACATCTTTCAGTTTGGTCATCTTGATTTTCCTACCTCAGTCTGATCATATCTATCTCAAACTTATTTCATACCTATCTTTCTCAGTTCATTCATATCTCTCTCTACCTATCATATCTATCTGTCTATATGAGTGTCTGTTCACGTCTCTCTTTCTATCGATATTGATCTGTTCATATCTCTCTCTTTCTATCTATCTATCTTGGTCTGTTCACATCTATCTATTTATCTATCTTGATCTGTTCACATTTCTCTCTCTCTCTATCTTGGTCTGTTCATATCTCTTTCTCTCTATCTATCTATCTTGGTCTGTTCACATCTCTCTATTTCTCTTGGTCTGTTCACATCTCTCTCTATCTATCTTGATTTGTTTATATCTCCCTCTCTAACTATCTTGGTCTGTTCATATTTCTCTATATATATATCTTTGTTCATATCTCTCTCTCTTAGTCTATTCATATTTCTTTCTCTATCTATCTTGGTTTGTTTATATATCCCTCTCTCTTGATCTATTCATATTTTTCTCTCTATCTCTCTTGGTCTGTTTCTCTCTCTATGTATCTTGGTTTGTTCATATCTCTCTCTCTCTCTTGCACTATTCATATTTCTCTCTCTCTCTCTCTCTATCTTGGTCTGTTCACATCTCTCTCTCTATCTTGGTCTGTTCACATCTCTCTTTCTGTTTCTCTTGGTCTGTTCACATCTCTCTCTCTCCATCTTGGTCTGTTCACATCTCTCTCTCTCCATCTTGGTCTGTTCACATCTCTTTCTCTCTCTCTCTCTGTTTCTCTTGGTCTGTTCACATCTCTCTCTCTATCTTGGTCTATTTATATTTCTTTCTCTCTCTCTATCTTGGTTTGTTCATATCTCTCTCTATTTCTCTTGGTCTGTTCACATCTCTCTCTCATCTCTCTCTCTCTCTCTCTCTCTCTCTCTCTCTTGGTTCTCTCTTGGTCTGTTCACATCTCTCTCTCTCTCTCTGTTTCTCTTGGTCTGTTTACATCTCTCTCTCTCTCTCTCTCTCTCTCTCTCTCTGTTTCTCTTGGTCTGTTCACATTTCTCTTTCTCTATCTTGGTCTGTTCACATCTCTCTCTATCTTGGTCTGTTCATATTTCTCTCTCTCTCTTGGTCTATTCCTTTTTCTCTCTATATATATCTGGGTTTGTTCATATCTCTCTATCTATCTTGGTCTGTTCATATTTCTCTCTCTCTCTATCTTGGTCTGTTTACATCTCTCTCTCTCTATCCATCTCTCTATCTGTTTGATTCCTCTCTGCTTTTCATCAGAATTTAAAAAATAAATGAATGTTAAATGTAAAAGTTAAATATATTTTTCCACTATAAGCTTGAATATTTATGCAAAAGGTATTTGTTTCGAATTGTAGAAATAAAATAATATTCAGGGTGTCTCCTTGAATCCTATTCTTTTATCATCCTCTCCGCCACAAAAATATATTTTTAGATTCTTTCACTCTCACTAATCTCTTGTGTCTTAGTGGCTTTATTGCCTTGCTTAGAGAAAAATGATATGAAAACATGAGGACATGATTTTTTTTATTAATCTATATTATTATAGGACATTATTCTTTTATTAATGTATTACTATGGGACATTATTCTTTTATAAATGTATTTATTAATAATGTATTCTCTTATGGAACATTATTCTATTATTAATGTATTATATTATCATGGGAAAATTTTTATTAATGTATTTATTTTCCATTTATTTTTCAGATGTGTCATTCTTTTATTTTATTTTTGTAGGACATTATTCTTTTATTAATATATTTTTATTAATATATTTTATATTATTATGGGACATTATTCTTTTATTAATGTATTATCTTATTATGGGACATTCTATTCTTAATATACTATTAATACATTGTCTTATGGGACATTATTCTATTATTAATATATTATATTATTATGGGACATTATTCTTTTATTAATGTATTTATTTTCCATTTATTTTATTTTTCAGATGTGTCAATTCATCAAAAGAAAATTATATTGACTAAAACAATGGCCTTCAGTCATTGATCTGTCTGCTACATCAAAATTTGCTCATTCAATTTAAATTTAAGCCTGATTAACCAGTTGGAAGGCATGAATTTTGGCATCAGGAATTTTAGAAACATTCATTTTGGTTATTTACACCAAAAAACAGATGAACATACAATTACGTTTATTAAAGGAGAAATTGGTTTTGTTTGATACTTAACTGCCGGACTCAGTCTAGGATTTTACAAGAATCTAAATTCTATTTTTACTTTGTGGACTTTGTATATTGTGCTGGATCTTCATAGAAAAACAATTGGCTTTCTTTGAAACTTGAAAAAATTTGACCTAACAAGACCTCAAAAGGTAAAAAGAATTAATAGGTATACATACATTGTAATATTCTAAATTTAGGGCCTTAGAGATCTCCCCCTACTTTTTTTCTTCTTTTCATTGTTCCCCTGAAATTTTCTTTTCTTTTCTGGTTTGTAGAGATATTTATGACAAAATTGTTTCTTTTTGCATGTATATACATTTTTAAATCTGAGAAAAATAAAAAAAAAAAAAAAAAACTTTAGCTTATTCTCCACAAAATTTCACCTCCACCATTTCTTAAGAAATTTAAATTCTAATAAACTTTTTAAAAAAATACAGAAAGAAAAAAGCACATTACCCACAACTTTTAAATTTAAAATTTTTTTGTCTTTTTGAAATAAATTCCATTTCATATCTTAAAGAAAAAAGAAAAAATACTGAAAGCTAGAAACATATTACAAATACTAAAATATAGATATCAAATATAAGATATCAAATATAAGATATCAAATATACAATATATATTATTCATATTTGTAATTTATATATGTATTATCACTTTTCCATCCAAAATTATTTTAACACGTTAACTGCCATGTCACCATATATTGGTGACATGGCATTTCATTTTATGCTGTGTCTCCAGATACCAATAACAGTTATATTTTCATTTTAAGTTGCTTCGCCAAATGTTGGAGACGCTCTATGACTATTTCTATACAAAGCAATGTCTGTGGCTTCCTGAAAAACTTTAGTAAAATGCATATGGTTCTCTGCTTCAATTAATGTTTACTCAAATTGTTTATAAATATACAATAGGTATAAAAAAGAAATCAAACCTCAAGGAAAAAAATTGTTGATTCAACTACAACATTAGTAATATTTGCAGAAATAATTTTGTCACCAATATATTGTGACACAGCTGTGATTATATAATAGATGTAAATCACATTTATAGCACATAAGAATGCTTCTTGATTTGCTATGAAGCATCTAATAATTAGAAAATAACATATATTATATATATATAATTTGTAAAATCCTGAAAAGTATATTATGCACACAAGAAAGTAGACATCACCACTTGTTGGTGACATATCTGACATATTCTTTTACAAAATATTTAAAAAAAATAAAAATAGTGTCCCCTAAATGACCCTATGCTGATTTGGGGTCGGCAGTCAACGTGTTAAAATTTCACCTTTATAAGAAATGTATCCCTTATTTTTCAGTAAGTATAAGCAGTAATTCTTGTCTTAATGTGATAAAAAATACATCATATAAATTCAGATATATAAACTTATCTAGTATTATATAAAACACACATAAAATAATTCTAACAAAATCATGAATAAATAAATAATAGAATCATTATAACAACTTAACTAAACAGAAATAATTTTAAATTAACATATCTTTACAAATCTATTTTTCTCTATTTTCATTTTCTTATTTAATCTCACCTCTTTTCTAGTCTCTTATCCTTTGTCGACTTTCTGTTTCTCCCTTATTTCCATGGTTTGTGTGCACAAAAACACTGACCACCAGCCATCACAACCAGCTATGTATCCTACCCAGTCTTCTTACCCATCTGGGGTTGGTCAATCAAGTGGTCAAAACCAGTCAATATATCAAAACAACCACATGAAAACAGCATCTACTGGTGGCAAAGCATTTCGACAAGATATTACTCGCAAGGACTTCAGCCAAAGAAGCTCCACTGATTCCCACAGTGGTGAATCTGTCAATGTGGGTGGCATAGGAAGGAAGGACTTCTCTTCCCAACGGGTGACACTTAACAATCATGCAGGGAACAATACAAACATTGGCATTCCTGTCATGGAGAAAACATATCCATGTGGCATATGCAAGAAAATTTTTTCTAGCCAATTCTTTTTGAGAAACCATGAAAAAACACACCAAGTTCCACCAATTGGGAGCAAACAATTTGCCTGTCTAAATTGTCAAAAGCAATTTGTATTGTTCATTGACTTGAAAAATCATGTCTGCCCACTATTAAGCAATCAACAGCAGCACAATAATAATAATAGTAATATTACCACCACCACTACCACTACCACCACCACCACCACCAATAACAACAACAATACTAACAATATCCAAACACTAAGTCAGCAGAGTAACCAATATCAGCAACGCTTGCAAATCACACAAAATATGAACAATTCAGCTGTTGAAAAACCCTACCAGTGCTCAATATGCAACAAAAGTTTCTCCCACCATGCTAACTTAAAACTACATTTTCGCACACACTCTGGAGAGAAACCCTTCACTTGTGAGGTGTGTGGCAAATGTTTTTCACAGAAAAACTGCCTCAATGATCACAAACGCTTACACAGTGGAGACCTGTATTATTGCAGCTATTGCAAAAAACCCTTTGCAAACCAGTTCTTCTTGCGAAACCACCTGCGAACACACACAGGTGAGAAACCATTTGAATGCACGTTTTGCAACAAGAAATTCTCTCAGAGGGGAAACCTAAAAACTCACATCCGCATACACACTGGTGAGAAGCCATTCCAGTGTGATGTCTGTGATAAATCATTTGCTCAGAAAAACTGCCTCAGTGACCACAAGCGACTACACACTGGCGAACTCTTCTTTTGCATTGTGTGCAAGAAGGCATTCACAAATCAGTTCTTTTTGAAAATCCATGAGCAAAGTCACACAACCTCTGGGCAGAGTGAAGCAAATTTTTTTTGCAGCTATTGCAAGAAGGGATTTTCAAATCAGTTCTTCTTACGCAATCACGAGCGGTCTCACACAGGAGAGAAACCATTTCACTGTCAATTCTGTGGAAAAGCCTTTGCCCAGAGTGGAAACTACCGCACTCACCTGCGCATACACACTGGTGAGAAGCCATTCGTCTGTGATACCTGCGGGAAGGCATTCACACAGAGGAATAGCCTGAATGATCATAAACGTTTCCATACAGGAGAGCTGTACTACTGCAGTATATGCAAGAAGGCCTTCTGCAATCAGTTCTTTTTGAAAATTCATGAGCAGACCCATTCAGGAGAGATGTTCTACTGTAGTTATTGCAAGAAAGGATTCCCAAATCAGTTCTTTTTACGAAATCATGAACGTACTCATACTGGTGAAAAACCATTCATTTGTCATTTTTGTAACAAGGCATTTGCACAGCGAGGAAATCTGAAGCTTCATCTACGCACACACACAGGAGAAAAACCACATGTCTGCGAAGTGTGTGGAAAGGGTTTTGCCCAGAAAAACTGCCTGATTGATCACAAACGTCTACACAATGGAGACCTTTTCTTCTGCATTGTTTGCAACAAAGCCTTTACAAACCAGTTTTTCCTGAAAATTCATGAGCAGAGTCATGCAGGGGAGACATATTACTGTAGCTATTGTAAAAAAGGTTTCTCCAATCAGTTCTTTTTGAAAAATCATGAACGGATACACACAGGAGAAAAACCATTCCAGTGCACATTCTGTAAAAAGAGCTTTGCACAAAGAGGCAACCTGAAACTCCATCTTAGGAAGCACACCGGTGAGCGGCCATTCCGTTGTGATGACTGCGGCAAATCTTTTAGTCAGCGGAATAACCTTAATGACCACAAACGGCTACATTCTGGGGAGCTCTTTTACTGCAGTTTCTGCAAGAAAGCATTCTGTAACAAATTTTTCTTGAAAAACCATGAGCGTATACACACTGGAGAGAAGCCATTCCAGTGTGACTTCTGCAATGAGAAGTTTTCACAGCAGGGTAACCTAAAAACGCACCTCCGTAAACATACCGGTGAGAAGCCATTTTCTTGTGACCATTGTGGGAAGTCCTTCACACAACGCCCAAATTTCACAAACCACAAATGTCCAGCTGCAATGGCTGCCACAGCCATTGGGACTGGTCCACATGGAGAACAAGTTTTTGCAAAACCCCTGTCTCTTTCTGGACGAAGGGGTAACACCCAGCTTGGAATAAATATTCCAGGACACGATAA